AATAGCAATATTATAAAGTCAAGTCTCTCAGATTTATAGAGTCAGTAAAACTTCAATCAAAATCATGGCAGTATATGAAACTTAGTAAAGTGGTTCTTAAAGTATTTGTTAGACTAAAAGGCCAAGAGTAGCCTTGTTAATTTTGAAAAACAGTAGGAAAATAAGACGGGAGCACACAAGATGAGAACTTAAGGAGCTTGCAGGCTTTAGGAAGCATTTGGAATAGCCTAAATATTCAGTGGGATAAAATGCAGAGCCCAAAGCTAGTAGTACATATGTGGAAAGCTAGTAGTACATTTGGTGTATGAAAGAGATAGCATGTCAGATCTGGACAGAAACAAGTATTCAGAAAATGGTATAATGAAAGCATAATTCATGTGTTAAAAGAACATAGAATACTGAATCACCTTATATAAAAGGCAGTGCCACTAGGTTAAGTGCTTTTAGATTAAAAAGTATTTTCTAAACAAAACAAAATATGTGCTACCCAGAAGTTTGTCTAGGCTACAAGTAAGAACTTATGTCCATCAGAAGACACATTAAAGTGTGAAAATTCTAGGAATTTTCTAGATCCATGGAATACACACAATTGATAAAGTATTGGTAGTAAGAATATTTAAATACCTATACAAGAAATATGGGGAAATGACAGGGCCATTTATCAAAAGAATACATATATTCTATACATAAGTTAAATGCTCTTCATTGTCACTGGAAATGGAAGTCAAGACCTGAGTGAAATACTGTTTTATACATTTAAAAGGAAAAGATTCAAAGTTCTGACAATGACAAATATTAGAAAGGATGTGGTGCCACAGGACCTCTTAAACACTTCTGGTAGTATTCCCACCCATTAATACACTGAAAAAACAATGTGACATTACCTTAGAAAGTTGGACTCTTTGTATGCATTATAAGCAAGCAGCACCACACTATGGTACCCAAGAGAAAATCTTTCCCATGGACTAGAGACATGAATGTGGGTGCTCATTATAGCATCACTGTGTGTTGCTTTCTGTTCCTTATAACTTCAGGAGTTCAGAGCACTCAGAGTACTCGAAGTAGCTTACATCTGTTGCCATCTCCTCAGCTCTCCCATCTGATCCCTAGATACCTCCACAGTAACCTGAAATGATTCTCTCCTCTTCTTACCCAGTCTTTCATGGTTTTTTTTTTTAGAGAAAAGTTTCTTAAATTGATGATGTAGGGTTGGGTATGTATACACAAATAGGGTCATTAATATTTCTCTCTGACTAGCAGACCTTTTGAATCTAACTTCAAAAGTTTTCTGTCTATATTTTACTGATCTAACTCTTCAGACTGATTCTCCCTTTTGTTTTCTGTGTGACACTTCTGGATTCTAAGGAAATTAAACTATCCACAGAGTGCTTTTTCACTTAAGATTTAGACTTGATTCTCTTCTTTGTATCAGTAAAGTTGAATCTTACTGTGCTAGTTGATTAATCTTTCATCTGTCCTGCACTGGACTCCACAAAGACAAAAAACCCACTATTGCTGGCTGGGCGTGTTGGCCACATGCCTTTCATTTCAGTGCTCAGGAGGCAGAGCAGGTGGATATGCTTGAGTTTGAGACCAGGCTGGTTTGCATAGAGCACTCCATGCTAGCTAAAGCTACTTAAACCCTGTCTAAAACAAAATTGTCTAAAACATTTAACAAGTTTCCCATTTCAGTTTTTTAAAATTAGAAAAAAAGAATTTGTCTTTAGTATTTGAAATTAACAATATCTCCTATGTTGACAAAACATTGGAGATCATTATTTGAATCCTGGAAGTAAGTCAAAGGAAAAGGAAACATCAACAGGTAAAATACACAGTCATTTAATAACCCATCTCCAGTGTTTATTATCACCTTTTAAATAGAAGATTCTATATTAAGAAAGGATTAATGACAACATACTATAAGAATTAATAGTATGAAATTAAGTCAAAAATAAAATTTATCTCCAGACATCGCCGAATGGAGGCCGTTCGACTTCGGAAAGAGAACCAGATCTACAGTGCTGATGAGAAGAGAGCCCTGGCATCCTTTAACCAAGAAGAAAGACGAAAGAGGGAGAACAAGATTCTGGCCAGCTTTCGAGAGATGGTATACAGAAAGACCAAAGGGAAGGATGACAAGTGAGAACTTCCTGACTTTACAAGTGGATATTTTTAACATCAAAAAGGAAATTGTGGGTTCTGGATATAAACATAAAAAAACATATTGTTTGTTTGTGTTTTGAGTTATTTTTTGATGTGCAGTTTCAATTAGCCCCGGTCAGCCTCAGGCTTTGTAGCCAAGGATGACTGAACTCTTGGTCTCCTGCCTCCACCTTCCAAGTGCTGAGATTCCAGTTGTGTGCCACCAGGCCCAGCCAAAAAGGCTATCGTGCTATGAAATGGCTTTTCAGGGCTTCTGTGCCTTCTTTTTAATTCTTCAGTTCTTCAGTAAAATATGTTTGTTGATATAATTAGTAAGTTATTTGAGGCTTTTAAAGATTGACTCCAATCTTCTGGTTTAAAAGTCCAAATTCTGAATGAAGTCCTGCTACGTTAGGAAAGTGGCATGAGAAGTGGCAGCTAAATGAGAAATTTAAATCTCACGTCATGATATGATGTGACTATTATTTGTCCCATACAGTGTCTGCCACTACCCTACCAGAACTTGGGCATTTTATATGTTGTCTTGAATGTGTTACAAATGGGCTTGACAGAAACTATTTAGGAAGCTATTTCTGTTAACAAAATGAAGGTGTTGCTGTATACAGCAACTCTGAAATTTGAAAACTGACTTGTTTCTATAGTCAGCCCTAGAAATGTATATTGGGCTAACTCTACCTCTGCTCTAAAACCAAGCAAACCAAATGGCTAACTCACAGACGTGTGGAATGGAAGATGTGAGCATTAGGTGTTTCAGGTTCTCCTAGATTACTTACCATTGTTCTTTCAGTGGCTAGGGTATAGCTCAGAGTTAGAACATGTGCTTCTGAGGCCCTGAGCTACATCCCCACCCGTACAAAAAATTTCAGATGCAGTTTTGGGTGTCTATGTGCCAATATAAGAATACTATTTCTATCTAAGCTGATATTTAATATAGGATAATATCTTAAAAATGAGTATCAAGAGTGCTAATAAGGGAAAATATAATAAGTCAGTATTTTAATTAAGCTGTTTCATGATGATGAAAGTAAAATATTAAACATTTTCAATTATGTCCTTTATGTTACCAGATTTCTTGTTTGAGACAGAGTCTCACTATGTAGCCCTGGATGGCCTAGAACTCAGAGTTCCCCCTGCCTCAGCCTTCCAGGTGCTAGGGTTAGAGGTGTGTGCCACTGCACCTCGCTATAGGATTTTATTTTAAACATTGTTAAGCTTTTCAGCTTTTTATATCTATCATTACTTTAATCCTTAACTTTGTAGAAACCCTCCTCACTTCATCACTGTTTGAAAAGTTTAATATATGTTCTGGGAAAATGTGCTTCTGACCCACAACTGCTGAACTAAGCAGCAGTTAGCATGTAGTAAAATCTGTGATCTTTGAACTTGAAATTATTTCACTGTATTTATACTTCTCAGTCTGATCAGTCTATAGTTTCCTAAAGTCTAACAGAAACTAGGTTCTAAAGTTGGAAATCTTAATAATCCATACACTTCCTCATGTAATACAATGTAAAGTTTATAATCTCTATTTTAGAAGTTATTCTGATGGGGCATTATGTTTTGTTAATTGGCTCCTAACAACTGGATGAATATGTTTTTCTTTTTTAATAGGAAATGTAGTTTCAGTGCAACAATTTTGTAGTGTATAAGTATTATGGATTTTCTTTTGATTCTTTTCCACAGAGTATATACAGTCAATGCAAAAATAAGAATTTATTTTAAAACCTGTCATTCTTAGAAATGATTTAGTAGCAGGTCCTTTAAAAAGTGGAAGGCTAAAACTATTTTATTTTCAGCTTGTTTGAATTATCCCTTCAAACTGTGTTCTGTCACCTGAGCTCTATGTCAGCCATTGTTCGCAAAAACAAGTCTTTCCTGGTCTACAGAGGAAGAAACACACATACACACACAATTGAACAAAACATTAAGCCAGAGATTCCCTCTTTGTTACATTCCCAGTGAACAAGATAGTCATTTGGCTTCTATCTGTATTCTTTATTAGTTCTTTAGGCCCAAGTAGAATCTATGTAGAACTATTGTAACTTACATACTTTGTTTTCTAAAGAGACCTACCTAGAAACCTCTTCACCTGTTGTTAATAGGAATTTTCTCTCTCTTTTTTTTATTTGTTGTACAAAGATATAGTAAAAAATAGAGAAATTGCTGAGTCCTACCATGCAAATTGGTACAAGTGTTCTGTGTTGCTTGTATGTCTTTGTCATTTGAAGTGTAGTGTAATATTGTCTTTGGTATTTTAAAATTGTGTGAGCAGGCATAGGAGTCCCATTGGGAAGTTAGGAAAACATGATGATCCAGTGTGAAGACAGAAACAAGACGAGAAATAAGTAAGGGTGGTAACCCAGCCCTGCTTCATTGTGAACATGAGCATGACAGAATGTTCTAGATTCTGTTTCAGAGTTTAGCAGTGAGGCTCAGCTGACAGTAGAAGAGGTCTGTGAGTCGTTGAGCCTTTCAGACTGTTAGTGTCAGATATAGAACTGTGGCCATTTTGTTATCCAGATACCCATAAAAGTGTCTATCAAGCTTGGAGGTAGGCATAGAGAAAGACCAAACAGCTAAGGGCCAATGGCTGATCTTTACTAATGTTCAAAACTCAACTCTGTGCTTACCAGACTCCAAAATCATGATAAAGTGTCAAGAAAAATCTTTTCGAAAGCAGAAAACAACTTATTGCAGAATGGATAATAAATAAAAACAAAACCACAGTTGGGTTGTGTGCCATGAGTTTATTATTCAATAAATACTATGTGATTTGATGTGCTGTTTCATAGTTTTGATATGTTGATTGCAAACCATCCTCAAACTTAACACAGGAATCAGACAACTTTAAAGGGGATGGACTCCAACAAAATATGTTTGGTCTCAGTGATATCCCGCAGCCACTGTTCTCGAAATCGAATCTTTCCTGGTCTGTAGAGGAAGGGAAAAAACAATGCACACATACACACAAAGCTTTTATGATCAAATAAAATGTTGAGGCAGGAATTCCCTCCTTACATTCCCAGTGAGTTTGTTAGGCCTACCTAAGAAGTCTTTTAGAGAACTTCTATACAGTAACATGGGTTGTTACACACGAGCTAATTCAATATGACCTTGGTGTGGTTCTTTATCAGGAGTGGGAGTGCTGAAACATGATCTCACTCTATAGCTGAGACAGGTTCCAAACTTACAGCACTCCTCCTGCCTCAGCTTCCCAATTGCTGGGATTATAGACATGGCTATAACACATAAAAGGGGATTATATCATCCATAGTAATTTTAGTATAATTCTGAAGTTTCCCTGAAGAAGACTGGGGCTGTAGCTCAGTTGTAGAGTACCTGCCTGGTGTGCAAGGCCCTGGTATTGATACCCAGTACCACACACACACACACACACACACACTGATACCCAGCACCATATGCTTAACACACACACATACTGATAGCACCATACATACACTGATACCCAGCACCATATACATAACATACACACACATACTGATAGCAACACACACACACAGATACCCAACACCACACACACACACACACACACACACACACACACACACACTGATACCCAGCACCATATAACCATATACATAACACACACACACTGATATCTGATACCATACACACGCGCATGCATACACCCACTTTGAAATTTCTATAGAAATAATAGACATAACTCACTTTCTCCCACCCTGTTCTTTCAACTAATCCTTAAGTTTCTAATTAGTGAAAAAACATTAAAAAAAAACCCCAATTTTCTAGAGTAACGCTAGAATCCTCCTTTCAGTCCATGCTATAGGGTAAGTAGTCCAAAGATGAAGGGGGCCCTGCTTGTGTCTATCTGTGTCTGTGGGCCTGTTGGAGTTCTAGAATGTGACAACCTTTATCTTACCCATTTAGAATAAGTCTCCAAATTTTAATTACCTTTGAAGTAGTGCTGAATTCTCAAAGATGTAAGAGACATCAACAGGCATATCCTAAGAGAGAGGGACAAGCGAAAGCCTTGACCAAGCACGATGATGCTTAATCCTCCCATTCTACCCTTATCTACATGTATATACTTGCATTTTCAGGGCCTGTCTTTATTAACTGGGAATCCACGAGATCGGAGACAAATGGCAGAGGCTTGGGTTCCTCGATAACAGCATGAGGGGCTGGAAATGTTTTGTTTTGAGGCAGGGGTTTTACTACGGTATGTATACTGGGATTGAGTACCTAGCTGCAAGTAAACCTCTCACTACGACGTCTCTCTTGAGTGCTAGCATTGTAGGTGTGCTACCACAGCTAACAAATGTATTTGGGTTTTAGAGACAGGGTCTCATGTAGCCCAGGCTGGACTCAGTAGGTACAAGATTGGTCTTGAACAGATCCTCTTGCCTCCACCTCCCAAGTTCTAGGATTACAGTTGTTGGCTTCTAAGCCTAGCTCCAACAAATACATGTTTTCCAAAGAGGAAAAATTATTTTTGAGCTGGGCAGTGGTGGCGCACCTTTTAACCCCAACACACAGGAGGCAGAGGCAGGTGCATCTCTGTGAGTTTGAGGCTACCCTGGTTTACTGAGAAAGTTCCAGAACAGCCAGGGCTACACAGAGAAACCTTGTCTCCAAAAATTAAAAACAACAACAAAAGAGAGTTATTTTTGGGCCCTGGTTTTAGATTCTTTCAGTTGATGATGGTAAGGGAGTGTCGGAGCAGGAGGTATGATTTGTTTGTCTGTACATACAGGTGACAGGAGACAGAACTGAACCAGGTCCTCTGCAAGAGCAGTAAGTGCTCATAACTAAGCCAGCTCTCTAGCCCCACAAGAAGTACATTTTTTTTTTTTCGTTTTTCGAGACAGGGTTTCTCTGTATAGCCCTGGCTGTCCTAGAACTCACTCTGTAGACCAGGCTGGCCTCGAACTTGGAAATCTGCCTGCCTCTGCCTCCCAAGTGCTGGGATTAAAGGTGTGCACCACCACCACCTGGCTAAGAAGTACATTTTTGTTTGTTTGTTTGTTTGTTGTTTTGTTTTTCGCTACAGGGTTTCTCTGTGTAGCCCTTCCTGTCCTGGAAGTCACTCAGTAGACCAGGCAGGCCTTGAACTCAGAGACCACCTGCCTCTGCCTCCCAAGTGCTGGGATTACAGGTGTGCACCACCACTGCTTGATAACCCCACCAATTTTCACCTTCAGAATTGTGCTTAGGATTTTGAGCAAGCGTCTTTTCTCTAGGGCCTTGTAGCATGATGTCTGGTCTTGCTTAACTTCACCAGTCTTACCACCTCACCTCCCTCACTGAGAAAGGGAATAGCGTATATATTAGATATAGCTAGAGCTCATAGGCCCTTGCTTAGATATAAGTCTCTACGGTGTGCTACCTAGGGGTTTTGTTAAGAATGTATTGTCTCAGCCAGGCACTGGTGGCATAAACTTTTAATCCCAGCCCTCAGGAGGCAAAGGCAGGCATATATCTAGAAGGCAACCTGGGCTGCAGAGTGCCTTCCAGGATGGCCAGAGCTACACAGAGAAACCCTGTCTCAAACAAACAAACAAAACCCCCAAACAACAACAACATAAAGAATGTATCATATCTAGCACTACCTAGACTTGCTGAATCAGAATCTTCATTTAACAAGATCCTCAAATACTTTTCATGTTCTTTGAAGTTCCAGAACCACTTTGGGGACATTTTAAACAAAGGACTAGAGGCTGGAGAGATGGAACAACTGTTAAGAGTGCTCCTCCAGAGGACCTGAGTTCCTAACACCTATGGCAGGCAGATACAGAGTGTGTGAAGTCTTCTTTTTAGCCTTTGTGTATGGCAGCTACACCCATATACACATACACACATGTAAATAATAAAAATAAATCTCCCCCCTTCCCTTCTCACTCTTGCTCTGTCCCTGCTCGCTCTGGTCCAATGGTTATTATTATTATTATTATTATTATCTGTAAGTACACTGTAGCTGTCTTCAGACACCCCACAAGCGAGCATCAGATCTCATTACAGATGATTTTGAGCCACCATGTGGTTGCTGGGATTTGAACTTGGAACCTCCAGAAGAGCAGTCAGTGCTCTTATCTGCTGAGCCATCTCAGCAGCCCAAAAATAAATCTTTAAACACAGTGATGGAAAGTCACTTTAAAAGGCTCTGGCTGGCTGGCTGCTACATGTGGGAAAGAATAGAAGGAGAGAGACCAGTTACACTATTGAAATAATCCAAAGGAGTGGGTAGGATCCTGTACATATTTTCCTAATGGGAGGGATGAGAGAGAGAGAGAGAGAGAGAGAGAGAGAGAGAGAGAGAGAGAAGTCAAGGAAGATGCCATGGGATTCAGCCATCAACTCAGACAAAAGACTTGAAGTGGGTAGGATGTGGGAGGGAGAATCAAACAAGACTGGGAAGACAGCTCAGTGGTAGAGCACCTGCTTAGCATGTGAAGGTGAAGGTCCTAAGTTCAACCTCCAGACGTGCAGAAACAAAATCAGCTTTAAAAATGGTCGGTGAAAATTTCACCGAATATCGACATATGCTAGAGATTTGGAAATCACAAGGTTGAAGTGACATTAATGTATCTTATTTATTGGGTTAGGGTTAGGGTTAGGGGTTAGGGTTAGGTACACTATGTCACCTAAGCTGGGTATAGATACTTTTTTATAAATGGGGTTTTTAGTTCTTTTTATTTTATTATTTTATGTGTATAAGTGTTTTCCTGCATGTGTGTTTCTGTACTGCACATGTGCCTAGAGCCAAACAGGGTGTCATATCCCTTTGGACTGGAGTTAAAGATGGTTGTTAGCTGTCATGTGGGTGCTAGGAGTCTAAGTCAGGTCCTGTGCAAGAGCAGCCAGTGCTCCTAACCACTGAGCTATCTCTGGATTTTATTTTTACATTGTGTGTGCACACGTGTGTGTGTGTGTGTGTGTGTGTGTGCATGTGTGTGTGTAGATGGGGGGTGCTTGTGAATGTCATGGAAGCCAGAAGCCAGAGGCCTTGGATCCTGTGGAGCTGGAGTTACAGGTAGTTATGAGCCATGTGACATGGGTACTGGGAACCAAACACAGGCAGAGCAGTAAGTGCTCGTAACTGCTGAACCACTTCTCCAATTCTGCCGTTATCTCTTAGGTTCAAGTGATACTCAGCCTCCTGAGTGTTGAGTGTAGAGTGTGCACTACTGTGCCCAGCTTGGGGGTTTTGTTTGTTTTTGTAATGTAGATCTTGCTGTTTCCCGGGCTAGTCTGTGAATTCTAATGATTCTTCCATTTCAACTTTCTGAGTTAGTGGGACTGTGGGCATGCATCTACTTACCCAACTCTGGGTGATATTTAAAGTCACAGGACTAGATCAAATAACCAAGGTAGTTACAGAGAAGGGGACTGAGTGTTGGGACATTCCAACATGAAGGTATTAGTATGTGAGTCAAACACACTAGTACACGCTGCCAAGAAATGGCAAGGAAGACACAAGTCATATTGGGAGAGCATGTTCTAGAAACCAGATGCAAAGTGTTGTGGAGAATAGAGTTATCGGCAAGGTAAGTGCCGGGTCAAGTACGATGAAGGCAGAAACATGTCTATTAAGAAGTTTCATGTGCTAGAGATACAGCTCAATGGCAAAGGCCATATGCAAGGCTTTGGGTTCAACCCTCAACAAATAGCTTGAATTCATTAGAGCCAGCATGGTGGTGCACAGCTGTAATCTCAGTACTGGGAAGGCTGAAACAAGAAGGTCAGGATTTCAGGGCCATCCTTAGCTATCTAGGTAACTAAAGGTCAGAACATGTCTTCATAAAACCTGACATTTTGCAATGGGGGTTGGGGGGAGGAATCAATGATGCCCATGACTAGAAATGTCACCATTGCTGAATCTTAACCAAAAGGCCCAGGAAGCAAAAAGAAGAGCTTACCGGAGGTTTGCTCTTGTTGAACTTGATGGTGAAGTAGGCGTTGGCACTGACTCGTGCCAAGGGTCTCACGGCAGTAGGGGCGCTCCAGCGCACCCGATAGATATAGTGGAAGGAGTGAACTAAGTCTTTCTTCTCTATAAAATCTGCATAGTACACCCAGCGGTTTTGAAATTCCCACGTCTGTTTCATAGGGAAAAAAAGGAAGGAGAGAGAAAGCTTACCAAGAAAGAAAATCAGGCTCAGTTCAACAAAGACACTACATAACACGGTTACAAATTCTGAAACCTTGACATTTTCTTTTTTTTACATTTTGATTCAAACTAGAACCCACCTCCTCTTATTCCCGAAGTAGAGGAGAGATGGAATAATTGCAATGCAAAACTCAATTGAGATGCGCTTTGGACTGTGGTGGAGGCAGAGGGGCAAGGGTTAAGGTATGCATGGACAGACCACACTTCTCCACAGCCTCACTTGTGATGGAATGGGTGTTCTGCTTACCCTATCCCAGGAGACCTAAGGGTTGACTAGAAGGTAACGGACTCAGTTTCAGCCCTCTGGAAGGTTGGACTGACTTCATTTGTTGTGATGTGTGGTTTATAAAACAAGGACCAAGTGCTGGGGAGATTTCTCAGTGAAGGCACTTGTTATGCAGGCCTGACGACTTGAGTCAAACGGCCAGGATCAATGTAAAAGGTAGAAGGAGATCTGAACTAACTCCGTGAGGTTGTCTTCTGACCTGTCTACATGTGCATTGTGGTGTGTGCACATGTACATGACACCTCTCCACATACACTCACACAATAATAATGTGTAAAAGTAAAATAAGACCAGGAGAGAAATAAGTCAGCCAATCGGGTTATCCACATGCCTTCCAAAGGAAGTCTGGGGGATTGCAGCTCAGTAGCAGAGTGTTTGCCTCATGTGTGTAAGGGCCTGCCTGGGTTTGAATCCCAGTAGGAGTCTTTTTTTACTTTTTCTGACAGGGTCTCACTATATAGCAGGCTGCCCTCAAACTCAAGACCTTTCCTCCTAAGTGCTGAGATTACTGGTATGTCTCATCACACATGGCTGGAAGAGTCAGTGTTCAGATATTAAACTGAAGAACTTACAGTGTCTCTGCTGTCTAAACCTATTCTTGTAGTTGAGATGGGGATAGCCAATTCAAATGAACTATATTATTGACAGAATCAGCAACCATTCAGAGCCAGGTATACTGGTATAGGCCTGTAATCTCAGCCCCTGGGGAGTGCAGGCAGGGGGATTGGGAGTTCAAAGTTATCCTCAACTATCATTCCAGGCCAGCCTCAAAAAATCGAGGGAAGGCTGTGGAGATTGTCAGGGATGTGCTTTCTGCATAAGCATGAAGACCTGAGTTCAATTCCTAGCACCCACTTTAAAAGTCATGCATGGTGCTGTGTACTTGTAATCCCAGGCCTAGGGAAGCAGAGACAGGCAAACCCTTGCCCAGAAAAATCTAGCTTAGTTAGTGACTGAGTGACCAGTGAGAAGCCCTGTGGTGGGGGCTGGAGAGATGGTTCAGTGGTGAAGAGTACTGACTGTTCTCCCAGAGGTCCCGAGTTCAATTCCCAGCATCCTTATGGTGGTTCACAACCATCTGTAATGGGATCTGATGCCCTCTTCTGGCAGGCGCGTGTATATGCAGCAGAATGCTCATAAATTAATGAATTAAATAAGTAGGTAAGTAAGTAAATAAATAAATAAAAAATCAAATAAAATAAGCAAATCAAAAAGTGGTGGAGGTTGGACAGATCTAAGGAAGAGCACAAAGGTAACCTTTGACTTCTACCTAGGCATGCATATATATACACAGTCTACACAAACATCCTGTTCATTCAGTTCTTTGGTCCTTCCCAATTCACGTACATTGCATCGTCTTCATTCATGTGTGTCCTTTCCTACTGTGGCTCACATCTCCCCACTCCTCTCTGATCCTAGTAGCACTGCTCCATTGTAGCTTTGATTGACGCTCACCAGACTCTGGGCAGAAGCCTCCTATCTGTACCCCATTGTCCTCAACCCCACTTCCCCAGACCACCCTGTATAGTGAAGCCAGGGTTACTTTCCTCAAACCTAGTCTCAAATCTACCAGCACAACTCTGAAGCCTTCAATAGCTAATTGAATGCCAATGAAAGTAACAATGTCTCACTGTGTCATTTAAGATTTCCCACGGTCTAGATTAAAAAAATAGGTAGATGTTTTTCTTCATGTGTATGTGTGTGTGGTATATGTTGCAGGTGTATATACATTTTTATAGGAACTTATGTATGCCTGGGTTGTGTGTTGGAGGTCTGAAGTAAGTATCTGGAATCGTCCCCAATCACTCTTTTACCTTATTTTTGAGGTAGGATTTCTCAAGGATTCAATCCCACAGCTAGCCCTGGCCAGCTGGGTCTTGAGATTCACTGCCTCTGCCTTCTAAACTAGAATTACAGGTAGGCATGGCTACTCAGCATTTATGTGGATTCTGAGTAGTCAAACTTCAGGCCACTTGCTTGTGTATATGCTTTAAACACTGACCCATTTCTCCATCCCATTACATTCACAGGATAGCCTGTAGTCCAGACTGGCCTTGAACTAACTGTATAGCTAAGAATGACTTCAAACTTGTAAACTAGCTGCCTCTACCTCCCAAGAGTTGGTATGATAGGTGTGTTCCAACACATCTTCCTTACACAGTACAGGAGAACAAACTCGAGGCTTTGTATGTGCAAGACAAGCACTCTACCAACTCTGCTCCATCCCGGGGCCCAAATAAGGTAAGAGCTTCCACCTTTGTGTCATACTTTTCTCACCAAACTAGAACTCTTCACTGTCCCCTAACATCTACTTGTTTATCATAGATCCAAGGTAGAGTGGTTTTGTTTGTTTTCGAGATGCACCAGGGTGGAGGTGGGGTCTCATTATGTTGATTGACCTGCTCTTGAAATCCTGGACTCAAGCAAGTGTCCTGCTTCAGCCTCCTTTGTGTGTACAACTATGAGCAATTACAGTGTACCACGCAAGAGCCTGTCACTTCTTCGGATGCTCTAGTGACAGAGAGATGAGAAGTGGGGAAGAGGAGGAATTGGTTCCAAGTTTTTCAGGCCCATGGCTTTAAAAACAATAAAGCAACCTGACCTTTTGCCTCAGGTTATTTCAAACTCATCTCCAATTGGCCATTTCTGTCAGAAGAGAGAAACCGTGCTCAGTTTGTTGAGATTGGGGACTGTGTCTTCTCTCATGGTCTGTATGAAATCGTTCCCTTTTTCTGTTTTAAGATAGGGCCTTATTATATATAGCCCAGACTGAACTCCAATTTGCTATGTAGTCAGAAATGACTTTGAATTTGTAACTCTCCTCTGCCTCCAAAGTACTGGAAAGAAAGGCATGCCTTGTTTCTGCAGTGTGGGGTAAACCCAGGACTCAGTGCATGCGTGGCAAGCTCTTCACCAACTGAGCTATATCGCCAGACACTTTTTGTTTTTGAAATAGAGTGTCATGTAGCTCAGAGTGGCCTTGAACTCCTAATTTTCCTGCCTCTCCCACACAAGTGATGAGAATTACAGGCATCTACCACTCTGCAAAGAAGCCTGGCAGTCACCTTCCTGTGCTCGGGTTTCCTCACCCATTCTCAGTTACTCAAATTTGTGTCCAGTGAGAATGTTTGTCATGAAAAAATTTTGTAGCACTAGAATAGTTCCTAGGGAATTCTAACCAAGACACTCACTTTTCAGATGAAGACAGTGGGGCCTTAGGCCTGGACTGATAGCCAAGGGCTTCTGGGCAGTGTTGTCAGTTCTGAGTTTCTTCCTCTCTGTTTGCTTGTACTGTACTTGTATCTTCTATGTGAACTAAGGGAAACTTCAGACATTCAGTTCTGCTATTTCTATAAGTCAACCTCTCCCCCTTTTATGAATGTATGGGCAATGGATTTTTTAAAAAGATTTATTTATTTATTTCAGGTATGTGAGTACACTGTAGCTGTCTTCAGACACACCAGAAGAGGGCATTGGATCCCATTACAGATGGTTGTGAGCCACCAAGTGGTTGCTGGGAATTGAACTCAGGACCTCTGGAAGAGCAGTCAGTGCTCTTAACCGCTGAACCATCTTTTCAGCCCTGGGCAATGGATTTTTATGTCACTCCAGTGAGTGGATATTTTCCTTATGTTTTGTATTTTCTTTATATATAACACACCTTCACATACTCACTAATATGGTACTAGTCTGCCATAGATGGCTTAGCTCATTCTATGTTATTGGACACTCAAAAACAGCAGGTACCCAGAAGTACATGCACAAAACAGTTAGCCATGGCAGGTGACCTTTAGAAGAATAAAACTGTCTTGTGACCTAGCTGGAGCAGTGGCACAAGCATGTCAACCTAGCACATGGAAAGCTGAGTCAAGAAATAGGAATTCAAGTCACCCTCAACTACATAGCAAGTTCAAGGCCAGCCTGTTTCAAAACCTCAAAAGAAAATAGGTGGGAGAGGGGGGATAAAAGGAGAGAATGAGATGTGGGGACAGAGTTTAGAGAGAAGGGAGAGAATAAATCCATGCATGTGCCCAACAAGGACTTATTGAGGATCTACTATGCTAGAGGCCTAGGGCAGAACTGACCAGAATGCTCAGGGTATAAACTCAGGTTGCAGTGTCTTAGGTAGCGCTCTTGACTGAGACTCCTAAGAGAGGAGGGAATGAAGGGGAAAAGGTGAGGTGTTCACAAAGATCTCGGAGTAGAGGGAGGAGCAAACACCAAGGTCCTGGTGTTGGGGCGTGCCTGACAGCTGAGGGACAGCAAAGAGGCAGCCATAGCTGAGGGAGAAAGGTGAGAGGGCAGACGTTCTGTGATGGGAACAGCAGGCCACTCATCACCTTGGGCCTTACAGGCCTCTGACAGGGTTCCCTTTGCCATTTATTCAAAACAGCTGTCCCTTTGGCAAGAGAAACATTTGCCCCTTCCCCTGGCCCATTCTGGTTTGAGTCAAGAGCCCTGAATGCAGTGAGCAGGGTGTTTGCTCAGCCTGTAAAGAAACTCACACTAGAGCAGGATGTTCAATATCCACCCACGTGGCTCCTTCCCAGGGTGCTCTCGAACCCTTTCCTACTGGAGACACTGTGCTCGCTCATTCCCAGGGTGCTCTAGAAGCCTTTCCTACTGGAAACACTGTGTGGTATCTAGTGCTGTACAGAGAATGGGTGACTCTTCCCTGCTTTTCCCAGGGCCACCCCACCATGATCGCCAGGGCCTAGCAAATTGTCCTTGGGGCTGTAGGCTTGGGCTGGCCTAGGTGACTTCACTTTCACTTTCAACTTCACAGAAAGTATAGTGAGAAGGGATTTCAAGCCATTCTTCTTCATCTACCCATAATGCAAAGCAACCATGGTTCTACTGCCCAGAAGCCACCTAAAAAGGTCAGAGCCAGACACAGTTCGTAGGTTGGGGAGGATTGATGGGTTTCCATATCATTATCATTACCATCTTGGCAATATATTCCAAAGTTACAGCAAAAAGGCTATTGGTCTCAGGGGTGGCATGGTGAAAGTGGATCAGTAATAGGAGGAATGTAAACATGCTTAGTGCAAGAAATGCTGTCCGTTCAGTCTCCAACACTATATAAAGACATTTGACCCACTCACAGCCCCTGTTAGCCTGAACGTACTAATGTTGGAAGAAAGCTATTTTTGAGATGCTTCTCTCTTCTTAAGCCAGCAGGCTCCTATTGAATATATCAGCACAAAGGCTTTCGTGGAAATAGCAATTTCCTTGGGCAGTGTACAATTAAGATGATACAAATGCATGGCAATATGGCTGCAGTTTACTCTTTCAAAGATTTTCCCACCTTGGGGTTGGAGAGATGGTCAGTGATTAAGAATGCTTACTGGCTGGGGAGGGGGTACACTCTTTTAACCCTAGCATTCAAGAGGCAGGGACAGATGAATCTCTGAGTGTCTGAGGCTAGCCTAATCTACATAGCAAATTCCAAGCTAGCTTGAGTTACATAGGAGATCCTGTCTCTCAAAAAATTAAAATAGGGCTGGAGAAATGGCTTAGCAAGAACACTGGCTATCTGGGTTCAATTCCCAGCATCTGCTTGGCAACTCACAGTCAACTCTAATTTTCAGGGCATCTGACATCCTCTTCCAGCCCCACAGGCACCAGATATACACATGATACACCACACACACACACACACACACACACACACACACACACACACGAAAAATACTCATACATATAAAATAGTTTTTCTTTTTAAAGAAAAGAATATTACCTTAAGGGTGTATAATGCTTTAAAAAATAAAACAAGTAAGGAAAATTTCCCATCTTGATTTTGGAATTTACAAGAAAACTATGTTTACTTATTTTAATTGTCTATGACGCCTCCCCTTTGGTTTTCATGACCTTAAACTTATGATCAGTGGAGGATCATTTTATATTGTTGCTCACACTCTTGGGTATCAAACTGGAGTGACCAAAGTTACTTACTGAAACAAACTTTTCAATTTGTTTTCGACCCTTTTCTGCCGTGAATTCCCCGTGAGTGAGCCACTTGATGTTCTTGATGGGGTTTCTGGCTTCTGGAAACAAGGCATGAGTTTATTAGTTGCCTGATAGTGTGGTGATACGGTAATGAGACAATGGTTTTAGTTGTACAAACCTGAAGCCTACCTTCCACAAACTGAACAGCAGCAGCCAGGACACCCTCAACTATAGTCCGAGCTATTTCACTTGCCCCGTCGTCTTTTTGCTCTACAACTAGAGGCTTTTTCTCTTTTACCTCTGGCACAGTTTTCTTCTCTTTTACAGCTATTGCGCGCGCCTTCTCTTTGATCTCAGACGCAGCCTTCTTTACTTTTATCTCTGACGAAGCCTTGCTTTGCTTTAACGCGGGCACACGTGGTGGCACTTCCTTCTTTCCCTTCAACTCTGGGATCTTCTGTTTTACTTCTGGAGCAACTGGCACAACAGGCGCGACTGGCGGGACTGGCGCGACTGGCGGGACTGGCGCGACTGGCGCAACGACTGGAGCGACTGGAGCGACTGGCGCGGCGACTGGCGCGACAACTGGCGCAACTGGCGCGACTGGCGCGACTGGCACAACAACTGGAGCGACTGGCGCAGCAGGCGCGACTGGCACGACAGGAGCAGCAGGCACAATATGCGCAACTGGCACAATGTGCGCAGCGGGAGCAACATGCGCAGAGGGAACAAAATGCGCAGCGGGAACAATATGCGCAGAGGGAACAATATGCGCAGAGGGAACAATAT